GTATCTTTGGAGTAAGAAATATCAGAAAGGGAGACAGAACATAAAGACTCCTAACTCTGGGAAACGAACTAGGGGTGGTGGAGGGGGAGGAGGGCGGGGGATGGGGGTGAATGGGTGACGGGCACTGAGGGGGGCACTTGACGGGATGAGCACTGGGTGTTATTCTGTATGTTGGCAAGTTGAACACCAATAAAAATAAATTTATTTTATTTTATTACGAAAAATTGTATTTTTTAAATAATAAATTCATTTTTATTGGTGTTCAATTTTCCAACATAAAGAATAACACCCAGTGCTCATCCTGTCAAGTGTATTTAATATGCAAAAGGAGACATGCTAACTGCTTTACTTTGTAATACTTCATTACCAAGAGATGTGGAAATGGTGGAGACATTTGTGAGGTAAAAGAAACTCAGTCAAGTCACTTCACTAGTGATAATCACTGCTTTACTCACAGAAAAGAACTATACTGTAAGCTATTTACATGTACCGATGACCACTGTCTTCCATCCTAGGAGGATGGGTACTGCTGTCCCCACTACCTGAGTAAGGATATTCACATTTGGAATGGATTGGTTGTCTCTCCCAAGTTCAAATAGCTTATTTGTGGTAAATCTGATATTCAAAACCTGCCTTTCTGATTCCAAAAATTTTGCATTTAAAATCATTCAGAAAAGTTCATTATTTCATTTTCAAAAATTCCCTTCTATTGTCATACATTGTATATTTTCTGTTGTAAAATGTAGGTTTATTCCCTTTGCACATTTTTTAGAGGGATATTCCATCAGTAAAATATCTTCACATCATAAAAATACGACTCCTTTCTTGTTTAGATACGTTGTCTTTTCCTGCTTTGTTAATTATTCTGGGCAGCAAAGAGATGTGAACTGGGGCTGCCAGAACCAGGGAAACTTTCTGCTCATCACAGTCTCTCAGGGTCTTCCTGAGCTTATTAGGTATCTTTTATCCTCTTTGTCCATTTCTTTCCTCTATGTGTTTTGAGTTCCACTTTTTTATGTTTCTTTAAATACAGGACACAAAGAGATCATTTTAAAATGGAGCCCTGTGTTTCCATGTCCACAGATGGCTTATTAACTAGAATTTAAATACATTTATACATTCTTCAGGGTAAAGGTAATCAGATATTGACAGCTTGCCTCTTATCATTTATTTCAAAATTATTGTGGCTGAGAGTGAGAAATGCATGATAGTAACCCAGTGGCAGGAGGCCAGAGCACACTGTGTGTTTGGAGGGTGGTATATGTGAAGGTACTGTGTATGTTTGGTTGTATACTTGTGTGTTGTGGGGCATGAGCAGATCTCAGGGCAATGGTACCCAAATCCATATACTCCAATATGTGACTCTTAAATTCTATAATGTTAAAAAAATGGATGGAAAAAAAGGAAAGGATCTACTTCTATTTATAGAATTCCTTGGAACATAATTAGTAAAATGCAAAGAAAACCATGTGAGGGAAGGACTCCCTGTGTCTTGAAGTCTCATCAGTGGCAGGAAAAGCACCTTGTTCCCCAACTTTCTCTTCCACCACCTCTCATCTGTCTCCCTCTTGCTCATCCCCTCACACTCTGACTTCATTCTGAGATTGGCATATCTGAAGTAACAGCCTTGTGCAGGACCTTTGCTCTGTTTGCCCTGCAGGACACACACCTCCAGATATCCTCCTGCCTCCTGCTTAGTCTCTCTGGAAGCCTCTGTTAAAATGTCACCCTATAGGTCACCCTAGACCCCTATTAAAACTTAGCATCTCCCCAACCATTCCTTTTTATACCAACATTTTTGTTCCTTCATGGCATCTGTCACCATCTGACATAGTGTGATTTTTTATTTCTTATATATATTCTTTTTCATCATTGGATTGTATGGACTTTTTTTTCTTCCAAGTTTTCATTTAAATTCCATTTAGTTAACATACAGTGCAATATTAGTTTCATGGGTAGAATTTAGTGATTCAGCAGTTCCATGCAAAACCAGGGGCTCACACCACAAGTGACCTCCTTCATCCCTACCATCTGTGTCACCTACCCCCCCACCTCCCTCCAGCCACCCTCAGTGTGTTCGCTATAGTTAAGAGTCTATTTCCTCATTTGCCTCTCTTGCTTTCCCTTGCTATGTTTGGGGTTTTTTGTTTCTTAAACTCCATACATGAGAGAAATCATATGATGTTTGTTTCTCTGACTGACTTATTCACTTAGCATAATATACCCTAGCTCCAACTACATCATTGCAAATGGCAAGATTTCTATATGGATGAGTAATATTCCATTGCATGTATATATACACATATATATATGTAAATATACATGCGTATGTGATATATATATCACATCTTCTTTTTTAAAGATTGTATTTATTTATTTCATGAAAGACATGCAGAGACATAGGCAGAGAGAGAAGCAGGCTCCATGCAGGAAGCCTGATGTGGGACTTGATCCTGGGACTCTGGGATCACGCACTGAGTCAAAGGCAGACGCTCAACCACTGAGTCACCCAGGCATTCCTATACCACATCTTCTTTATCCATTAATTATTCTATGGACATTTGGGCTCTCTCAATAGTTTGGCTATTGTTGATTATATTGCTATAAGCATCAGGGTGCATGTACACCTTGAATTAGTTTTTTTGTATCCTTTAGGTAAATACCTAATAGTGCAACCTATATAAAGAGAGAAAATATTTCCAAATGACATGTCTAGTAAAAGGTTAGTATCTAAAATCTATAAAGAATTTATCAAACTCAATACCCCAAAAACAAATAATCCAGTTAAGAAATGAGCAGAAGACATGAACAGACATCTCTCCAAAGAAGACCTACAACTGGCCAACAGACACATGAAGAAATGCTCAACATCACTCTTCATCAGGGAAATAAAATCAAAATTACATTGAGATATCACCTCACAGCATCAGAATGGCTGTAATTAACAACACAGGAAACAACAGATGTTGGCAAGGATGCAGAGAAAGAGAAACCCTCTTGCATTGTTGGTGAAAATACAAACTGGTACAGTGACCCTGGAAAACAACATGGAGGTCTCTCAAAAAGTCAAAAATAGAACAGCCTATGATCCGGGTATTACACTCCTAGGTATTTACCTAAAGGAGGTATGAACTGTTCTTTGTTAGCACCTGATGCTTCTTTGTCCAGAAGACATCAGTACTCAACATATATTCCTCAAATTCAATAAAGCATTTCCAAATAAAACTGTATTAAGTGCCTTCTTAGGAAAAAGGCTGAATGGCTAGGAATTCCTAATTAAAGATGTCAGGGGACATCCATTAAATGGGATCAGATCTATAAAAGAAATAGGTATTTCTTTCTTCATAGCAAAATATAAATTCTACCATGTAATTCTGTTAATAATGCCTATTTGGTACAAATCAAAAATACAATGAGGCATCACCTCACAACTGTCAGAATGGCTAAAATCAACAACACAAGAAATCACAGCTGTTGGTGAGGATGTGGAGAAGGTGGAACCTTTTTGCCCTATTGGTAAGAATGCAAACTGGTGCAGTCACCCAGGAAAACAGTATGCAGGTTCTTAAAAATAGAATGACCCTATGATCCAGCAATTGCACTGCTAAGTATATACTCAATGAATAAAAAAATACTAATTCAAATGGATACATGCACCCCAATGTTTGTAGCAGCATTATCTACAATAGCCAAACTATAAAAACACCCAAGTGTCAGCCAATAAAAGGTATGGATAAAGAAGATGTGATATGTATATATATATATATATAATATGGTAATATTCCATGAATATTATTCATTCATAATACAGAATAAAATCTTGCCATTTGGAATGAAACAAATGGAGCTAGAGAGTATTAAGCTAAGCAAAATAAGAGAAAGACAGGTACTATATGATTTCACTCCTGTGTAGAATTTTTTTTAAGATTTTATTTATTTATTTGAGAATGAGGGGAAGAGAGAGAGAGAGAGAGAGGGAACAAGGTGACAGGTAGAAGAAGTAGACTCCTCACTGAGCAGGGAAGTCAGATGTGGGACTTGATCCTGGGACTCCAGAATCATGACCTGAGCTGAAAGCAGACACCAAACTCAGTGAGCCACCCAGGTGCCCTCATGTGTAGAATTTAAGGAAACAAAACAAATGAGCTAAGGGAAAAGAGAGAGAGAGAGAGAGAGAGAGAGAGAGAGAGAGAGAGAGAGAGAGAAGCAGACTCTTAACTATAGAGAACACATTTCTGGTTACCAGAGGGGTGGTGGTGGAGGGATAGGTGAAATAGGTGATGGGGTTGAAGAGCATTTGTGAGGAGCACTGCCTGTTGTATCAAAGTTTGAATCACTATACTGTACACCTGAAATGAATATTACACTGTAGGTTAATTAACTGGAATTGAAATAAAAACTTTCTAGCAGCAATGTCCACAAGAGCCAGACTGTGGAAGGAGCCTCGGTGTCCATCGAAAGATGAATGGATAAAGAAGATGTGGTTTATGTATACAATGGAATATTACTCAGCCATTAGAAATGACAAATACCCACCATTTGCTTCAACGTGGATGGAACTGGAGGGTATTATGCTGAGTGAAATGAGTCAATCGGAGAAGGACAAACATTAAATGTTCTCATTCATTTGGGGAATATAAATAATAGTGAAAGGGAATATAAGGGAAGGGAGAAGAAATGTGTGGGAAATATCAGAAAGGGAGACAGAACATAAAGACTCCTACCTCTGGGAAACGAACTAGGGATGGTGGAAGGGGAGGAGGGCGGGGGTAGGGGTGAATGGGTGACGGGCACTGAGGGGGGCACTTGACGGGATGAGCACTGGGTGTTATTCTGTATGTTCGCAAATTGAACACCAATAAAAAGTAAATGTATTATTAAAAAATGAAATAAAAACTTTAAAAAATGAAAAAATAAAGGGCAATGAATAAATAAAAAGAAGCCCATTTGCTTAAAATTTTTTATGTTATTTTTTTCTCCCTTGTAGTCCTCACCACCACATGGAACCGGGAAATGATACACAAATTCCAGAGTTTCTTCTTCTGGGATTATCAGAGGAACCAGAACTACAGCCCCTCCTATTTGGGATTTTCCTCTCCATGTATCTGATCACTATCTTTGGAAACCTGCTCATTATCCTGGCTGTCACCTCTGACCCCCACCTCCACACCCCCATGTACTTCTTCCTTGCCAACCTGTCTTTTGTAGACATCTGTTCCATCTCCACCACCATCCCCAAAATGCTCCAAAACATCCAGACTCAGAGCAAAGTTATTACCTATGCAGGTTGCGTCACTCAGATGTACTTTTTCTTACTCTTTGCAGGCTGGGATGACTTTCTCCTGGCTGTAATGGCCTATGACAGGTTTGTGGCCATCTGTCACCCCCTGCACTACACAGTCATCATAAATTCCCAGCTCTGTGTACTGCTGGTTCTGGTGTCCTGGATCATCAGTGTCCTGCATTCCTTATTAGAAAGCTTAATGGTGTTGCAGCTGTCCTTCTGCAGGGAGGTGGAAATCTCCCACTTTTTCTGTGAAATTAATCAGGTGGTCAAACTTGCCTGTTCAAGCACCTTTCTTAATGACATGCTGATGTATTTGGCAGCTGTGCTACTGGGTGGTGGTCCCCTTGCTGGGATCATTTACTCATATTTTAAGATACTTTCTTCCATACTTTGGATCTCATCAGCTCAGGGCAAGTATAAGGCATTTTCCACCTGTACGTCTCACCTCTCGGTTGTGTTCTTATTTTATTGTACAATCCTAGGAGTATACCTTAGCTCTGCTGTTCCCCAGAGCTCCCACTCAAGTGCAGTGGCCTCAGTGATGTACACAGTGGTCACACCCATGCTGAACCCCTTCATTTATAGTCTGAGGAACAGAGACATAAAAAGGGCTCTGAAAAGAATCTTTGGGGTTCCAGTGATGTAAGGGCCAATCTTCCTGGGGCTGACGAAGTGCCCATGATTGCAGGCTTCACAACCTCAGAGCCAGGAACTGCCATTCTTTGATTAGACTGGGGATATGGAATCTGTTCTTTCCATTTATTTCCTGGAATTTCCATTTGTTTGAATTCAGCTTCTCCGTGCATTTAAGTAATACATTTTGTTAAGCTTCTACTCTGTCTGATACACAGACAGGTTATCTTTTGTCTATTTTCATACATTCCTAAAGTTTTCCCCAATCTCGGATCACAAATGCCTAGAAATTTCTGTCTCTTACATGGGGCAAATTAAATTTCTTAAAAATAATTTCATTTCATATGACTTAAACCATGCCAAGTAAAATTTCTCTAGATCCCCCAAAAAGACTAATCATGAGTTGTTTTCTTCATATGGAAGATATTACATTGGCCACTAAGGCCTTCACGTAATTTTATTGTAGATGAGAATACAGAACCGCGGTTTTTACCTCAAGTCTGTCAGTCTTTTCCACCATTACCTTCACTCCTCTTTCCAATGATGTGGACTCCAACACTGGTCCTTTTACATCTCAGGCTACTGACAAGCATGCTCAGGCTAAGAAATCCTGGCCACTCCCTTGCATCCATGTGCTTATGGACATTCCTACAGATACTTCTCTGTCCAGAACTCCTGCAGTGGCTGGACTTATCCTTGGGCTCTTACTGTGACTGTGAGACAGGCCTCATCAACACCCACCTGAGAATTCTAACAAAACAAGGTTTATTCTTTACAGGACCTGGAGGGCACTTGGGATGCCAAAGACCATTAGGGGAGGTCTCAGAAGGCGAGACATGGGTATTGAGAGGGAGTGAGAGAGCCCTGCTGAGGGATCAGACTTCACTGGGGTCCACGGCTAGAGTGTTTAGGGGTTTGTGGGTTCACACTTTAAAGGACAATTTTATATGAGTAGGATTTGGGTGCTGATGGGGAAAGTAGGGTCACTCATGTGTCAGTATCTAGTTTACCCAGGGCTTTCTGAAGAGGTACTTCATGGCTGGGAGCATCCTAAATCTTAATCTGTTAATTGTGTCCGGCACTTGACAATATGTTTACTGACCTTATTGTCTTTGAGATGGATGCCTCAGGGTCAATAGTTTAATGTCAGGCATTTACATTACAACAAAAAAGCTTAATCAGTCCTAACTGGTCTCCTGATTTTATTCTGTGATTCAGCAAGATTCCTTGAGGAAGCCTATGATGACTCCTGCAAACACTGATTAGCAAACATGTGTGTCCCAGTGGAGTCTATATGGAAAGAAAAAATTGAATAAACAGATAGACCTGATATGTAATTAGTGTGAGGATGACCATAAATATGGTGAAGCAAAATTTAAAAACATTCATTTTGTTACTACACAAATATTTATTTTTTTCTTATTTTGATTTATTTTACATCAAAATTCAATGCTGTTCATGTATTTGTGGAAGCATGGAAGATTGCAGTCCACAACTGAGGGGTTTATTCATTGAAGTGAAGGATTGTTTAGTATCTTGAATGTTTTAATATTTTTTTATTTTTATAAATTTATTTTTTATTGGTGTTCAATTTGCCAACATATAGAATAACACTCAGTGCTCATCCCGTCAAGTGCCCACCTCAGTGCCCGTCACCCAGTCGCCCCCCCCCCCCGCACACCTCCCCTTCCACCCCCCCTAGTTCGTTTCCCAGAGTTAGGAGTCTTTCATGTTCTGTCTCCCTCTCTGATATTTCCCACTCACTTTTTCTCCTTTCCCCTTTATTCCCTTCCACTATTATTTATATTCCCCAAATGAATGTGACCATATAATGTTTGTCCTTCTCCGACTGACTTATTTCACTCAGCATAATACCCTCCAGTTCCATGCACATCGAAGCAAATGGTGGGTATTTGTCATTTCTAATGGCTGAGTAATATTCCATTGTAACATAAACCACATCTTCTTTATCCATTCATCTTTCGATGGACACCGAGGCTCCTTCCACAGTTTGGCTATTGTGGACATTGCTGCTAGAAACATCGGGGTGCAGGTGTCCCGGCGTTTCATTGCATCTGTATCTTTGGGGTAAATCCTCAGCAGTGCAATTGCTGGGTCTTAGGGCAGATCTATTCTTAACTCTTTGAGGAACCTCCACACAGTTTTCCAGAGTGGCTGCATCAGTTCACATTCCCAGCAACAGTCAAGAGGGTTCCCCTTTCTCCACATCCACTCCAACATTTGTGGTTTCCTGCTTTGTTAATTTTCCCCATTCTCACTGGTGTAAGGTGGTATCTCATTGTGGTTTGCCCTCTTGAATGTTTTATTACCAAATTGTCTTCCTTTTTCTATTTGAAAACATCCAATTCTGCTTGCTAATATGATTCTCTCTATTGTTCCACAAAATAACTCCCTTTTCCTAATATTTGTCACAAATGTTAAGAAATGGTGAATGAACAATATCAGTATCATCCATTTTGTGCCTCCTTTCCACTTAGAAATTTCTTCCACGGGAATGCTTCACAGGAGAGCTGGATATCCTGCTGGTCATGTGGTTCAGGATTATCAGTTCTTCTGCACAAATGTGCATGTTGTTCTAACTCTCCCAGTGACTCTGAAGGGATCCCCCGTATAGTCACTTGTTTATAAAGTAATTGGCAAGAAACTTGACTAATAGAATGATCATGTCTGTTTGTCCCATTTGTCAGGTCATATGCCACAAATAAAAAGCAGCACATATTCTAACTTCTTCATGAATATTTGCATGGATTATTGTGTCAGTCAGCTCTTGCTCTGTGACAGGTAGGCATTGTCAAATGGGATATCATACTGATGCAGGGTGGCTGAGCACAATGGTCAAGAAAGAATTCTTGAGACATTTATATGGTTGCAATAAAGTGCTTTTATTATAGCATGGGGACAGAACCTGTGGGCAGAAAGAGCTGCACTAGGGTTGTAGGAGAGAATGATTCTGTACCTTGAAGTTTGTGGATGGAGAGAGGTAGAGCTAATGTAAATTTCTAAGGAATTTCTGTATGCTGAATGTGAGGGTGGCCTATTGTCAAGATAATCTCAATTTTGGTCTCTAATAAAAAATCAAAATTAAGGAAGCTATGAGTTCCTGGAGGAGTGTGATGGTCTGCATGTCTCAGGGATTTACCAGTGGGCTTGAAGTTGTAGGGAAATTGACTTTTAGTTAAATTTCTCCTGCCTTTGTTCTCCTTATTAATAATGCCTTTACAATCAAATGGCATTATATTATGGGAAACATTTCTTTTCCTTTTTGGTATATTTTTTATTGGAGTTCGATATGCCAATGTATAGCATAACACCCAGTGCTCATCCCGTCAAATGCCCCCCTCGGTGCCTGTCATCTGGGAAGCATTTCTGATATCTTTTGGGTCCTCACGGGTCTGAAGTCAAGTATGAATGACTATTGTGTTTGTAAGGTTCATCCATGATGTTATGTGTGGCTGTAGTGCTCTTCTGTCTCAGCTATTTATGGGCTCTTGCTACTACATTTCTATATGTAAGGTTTTCCTCTATTTACAAATTAAATGAACTTATCATGTGAATTATTTGAATTTCATCCCACTGTTCCTACATCCATACAACACTTGCTATCCTTTCCTGTTAAAAGAGCTCTATCACAAATCTTCAATGAAGATTCAGCTACCTGTGTTCTAGATCCTTCCCTTAGTCACAGCATAGATATTTTCCCACTTAATTAAATCATTGGAATATAATGACATGCAGTATACTACATATTTAGAGAGTACAATTTAATGAATTAAAGAAGATACAGAAAAAAATAAAGAAGCTACAGAGAATGGGGATCTTGCTTGGATAAGAGCAATTTGCATTCTAGGAACCCAATTAAGTAGAAAAAATTTAAATTGATTTGGAGATATTTTGTCCCACCAGCTGGTACGTGAAATCCTTATGACATAAAGGTGAGTGTGGTCTGACTCTGAAGCCTTTGAGGCAATGACATAGAGAAAGGAACTCAGGATCAAAGTTAATATCACTCTTTGTAATTTACATCTTTGTATTTCTGCATCATATTTCACATACATTCAAAAGTTCATTCTTCTCAGTGCTATCCTCTCCCGCTTTCTCAAGATTCCCTTCAACAAAGAAGATGAAATCATAAATGCATCTCTGTGTGTACATGTGAGTGAGCTTGTTTGAAAGAAAATATACGCAGACACACACATACCCAAGATACAACCATTATCCTCAAATGTTTTCTTTGAGGTAAAAAAGGAAGTTCCATAAATTTATTCATTCCCCACAATGTCCATATGAATTTGTTTGTTATTTTATTATTTTTTAAAGATTTTATTTATTTATTCATGAGAGACACACACACACAGAGAGAGAGAGAGGCACAGACATAGGCAGAGGGAGAAAGCAGGCTCCATGCAGGGAGTCCAACATGGGACTCAATCCCGGGTCTCCAGGATCACACCCTAGGCTGAAGGCCTAGGCTAAATCACTGAGCCACCCAGGCTGCCCTGAAGTTATGTTTAGAATCCCACATTACCTTCAGAAAATGATACTCAGGATGCTTGAATTTTAATAATTCCCTAACAAACCAGTTAAACCTTATATATAGTCTTAAATCAAGCACGAAAAGAAACTTGCAATATGTACTTTTCATTTTTGTGTAGATACATTAATTAACCACAGCATACCCTTTACATAGGCAGGTTATTGTGTATTACTATACTCCAATGATTTCACTCAGTGGAAAAAATCTAATGGTGCGTGGGTACCGGTAGGATCTAGAACACAGATAACTGATTCTCACTTAAGAAGGGTGAGAGATACTGTGGGACCCAGGAAATTTAACAAAAATCCCCTACCCCTGGACAAGCAGAGCAGGACTAACTCTATTTTGTGCTACACCTGCCACCTCCTGTATCACCCCCACACGACCTGCTTATTGCTTAAGGCGCTGCCCCACGCTAGTCAAGTCGCTGGGCACACCCTAATCGGAAATCGGCTCAT